TTAATATTACCCAACATTCGATGAGTTCACAATTTATAACTCTATACTAGTAAATCCATTTAATTATATTTTATAATTAGTTTAATTTAATATGTTCACCAGGAAGTTATATTTCTTTAAGGTATATATCCTCTGGATCCTTACTGAAATAGTTTTATGGTTAAAACTATGCATACTTATAGCTGCTGTTAAGTTTTTACGGGATAAAATAATTGTGTTCAGGATCAGGGTGAGGAATTCTGACTTTCTGAAAGCTCTTTGGTCTGTGTTTTAGAGATAACCAAATAATACTTTTTCAGAAGAACTCTGCCGTGACTACAGATGCTGCCACGGCCATCTCTGTGCAGAGATTGGTTAGCTGCCCTACTGGACCCCTAACCTGCCATTGCAGCCAGTTGACTTTTAAATGCCAAGCCTGTGACACTACACATTGAATAACTGCTGCTTTCCAGACACATGTCAGGGAGTATAACCTCACACTTAACCTTGATCCATTCCTATCAAAACTCCCAGAAAGAAAAACAGATAAAGTATTTCCCAGAGAATGTACAGGCTATCCCTTCTCTCATGAATCAAATCCATAGACAAGAAACATCTGCATCACCTGTGAGCTTCTTGGATCTATAGAAACTGAGGCCCTACCTCAGATATAGTAAATCAGAATCTTCATTTTATCAAGATTCATATGTGCAGTAAATTTAAGAAGCACTATTCTAAAGCACATTCTTAGTCTTGAAAGATAAGGAAGCAGAAAGCACCCAATCAAAACAGCAAGAAGAAAAAGAATTTTAAAATATGAGGATAGTTTAAGAGATCTTTGGGACAACATCAAGCAAACAACATCTGCCTCATAAGGGTATCAGAAAGCAAAGAGAAACAGCCAGGGATTAAGAACCTATTTGAAGAAATAATGACTGAAAGCTTCCTGCACCTAGTGAAGGAAAAAGACACACAAGTCCAGGGAGCACAGAGAATTCCACAAGATGAAATCAAAGAGACCCATGCCAAAACACATCATAATTTAAATGCCAAAGGGATAAAAATAAAGAGGGGATCTTAAAAGCAGCAAGAGAAAGATGGTTACGTATATGGGAGCTCCCAAAGTCTGTCAGCTGATTTCTCAACAGAAACCTTGCAGGCCAGAAGGGAGTGGCACAAAATATTCAAAGTGACAAAAGCAAGGACCTATAATAAAGATTACTCTACTCAGCAAAGCTATTATTTAGAATTGAAGGACAGATAAAGAACTTCCCAGACAAGAAAAAGCTAACGGAGTTCATCACCACCATATCAGCATTACATGAAATGTTAGAGGGTCTCCTTTAAAAAGGAAAGAAAATGATAAAAAATATGAATAATAGCCCTGGCCAGTTTGGCTCAGTGGATAGAGCGTTGGCCTGTAAACTGAAAGGTTCCAGGTTTGATTCCAGTCAAGGGCACATGCCTGGGTTATGGGCTCAATCCTCAGTGGGGGACTTGCAGGAGGCAGCCTATCCATGATCCTCTCTCATCATGGATGTTTCTATCTCTCACTCCTTCTTCCTTCCTCTCTGAAATCAATAAAAATATATAAAAAATATGAATAATAAAATGACAATAAATGCATGTCTATCAATAATTACTTTAAATGCAAATGGATTAAATGCACCCATCAAAAGACAAAGGGTGGCTGAACCAATAAGAAATTAGAACCCTTACATACGCTGTCTACAAGAGACCAACTTCAGGTAGAAAGACACAGACAGACTGAAAGTAAAGGATTGGAAAAACATATTTTATGACAATGGAAACAAAACAAAATAAAGCTGAACTAGCAATACTTATACCAGGCAAAATAGACTTTAAAACAAAGGCTATACTAAGAATCAAAGAAGGACCCAGCAACTCCATTTCTGGGCATTTATCCAAAGAAACCCACGACACTAAATTGAAAAGACATGTTCATTTCAGCATTATTTACAATAGTCAAAATATGGGAACAACTTAAGTGTCGATAGGTTAATGGTTAAAGAAGAAGTGGTGCATATATACAATAGAACATGACTCAGCCATAAAAAAGAATGAAATTTTGCCGTCTGCAACAACATAGACGGACCTAGAGGATATTGTGCTGAGTGAAATAAATCAGATAAAGACAAATGCCATGATTTCACATATATGTGGAGTCTAAGAAACAAAATAAATGAACAAGTAGGATAGAAATAGACTCGGATACAGAGAACATTTTGACAGTTGCCTGATAAGAAGGAGGTTGGGGGATGGGTGAAGAGGGTGAAGTGATTAGAAAGTACACCTGGCCAGGTGGCTCAGTTGGCTAGAGCAAAGTCCCATACACCAAAAAGTTGCAGGTTTGATCCCAGTCCGGGCACATACAGGAGGCAACATATAGATCTCTCTCTCTCTCTCTCTCTCTCTCTCTCTCTCAGACTCCCTCCCTTCCTTTCTCTCTAAAAATCAATAAATACATTCTCTGGTGAGGATAAAAAAAAAAAGAAGTACAAATTAGTAGTTACAGAATAGTCATGGAGATATAAAGTGTAGTATGGGGCATATATTCAATAATATTGTAATAGCTATGTAAGGTGTCAGAGATGGGTACCAGATTTATTGGGGTGATCTATCATTGGGTTGTATACCTGAAAATAATATAATATTGTACATCAACTGTAATTGAAAATTTAAAAAGTTATTTTTAAAATTAAATCACAAAAGATAAAGTATTATATTCACAAAGATGAATTGACATTAACAAATTAACAATTGGGGAACGTTTTCCAATTTTCCCCAACCCTGTCTGCATATATCAAGGTGCTTCTAAGTGAACGAGTAAGAGTAACTAATGCTTATTTGATAACTCTTAGTAAAACCTCTTTGGGAGATTTCCCCAAAATGAAGGACTCTAATAACTGAGAAACAAATACTATGCAAGTTGGGTGGTTTCTAGTTCTGTGCTTTCAACAGAATTGAAGAAGCACCTAATCAAGTTGTCAGTTGCAATATTTTTAGCACATACCTTGAAAGAAGTTTTAAAAATTGAGTAATATTGCCACAATAAAACTTCTCCCGTTCCAATTACTAATGGAATAAAGATTTCTCAGAGCTCACATCATTAAAATAAAAAAAAAATAGAATAGAATTGAGGCTGAAAAATCTCATCTTTTTCTAGTCATAAGTAACAATAAATGATAGTTACCCATAGATACATGTAAAAGGTGAGAGTCACCACATTACAAGATTGCCTTGAAAAGTAAATTTACACAAAAAGGACTTAGACAATGAGAGGCACAAAATGAATGGCAATACACAAAAACTATTATTATTAGGTAAAAATTTACGATAAAGACCTTAATTTGGACAGGAACCAGGAGGGCCGAGAGGAGGCGCTCTCTAGTGGTGCAATTGGCTTCTCTAGAAATAACACACATCCTGAAAATTATCCTTTTTGTGGTTTGCTTCTTCACCCAAAATGTTAAGGCCTTTCTTCTCTTTGCAGTAGTCTCTTCTTGTATAAAGTGTGGACTTTTAGCCCTAGCCGGTATAGCTCAGTGGATAGAGTGTCAGGCTGCGGACTGAAGGGTCCCAGGTTCAATTCTGGCCAAGGGCACACGCCTGGATTGCAGGCTCAATCCCTAGTAGGGGATGTGGAGGAGGCAGCCGATCAGTGATTCTCTCTCATCATTGATGTTTCTATCTCTCTCCTCCCTTCCTTTCTGAATTCAATAAAAAGATTTAAAAAAAAAAAAAAGTGTGGACTTTTACTGTTGCCCCCAGAATCCCACTGGAGGTCTGAAGGGGTTCCCGATTCACCTGCCCTTTAAAGGCATCCCAGTATCCTTTGTTCTAATAGACGTAGCAGGCTGGTTCCAACATTTGTATTTTTTTTTTATCTTTGTTTCTATAGCTCAAGATTTCTAAAATTCTGTTCTCCTAATCTGCCATCAATACTTTTTTTAAAAAATATATTTTATTGACTTTTTACAGACAGGAAGGGAGAGGGATAGAGAGTCAGAACCTCCTGAACACCCCCCACCAGGGATGTGCCCACAACCAAAGCACATGCCCTTGACCAGAATCGAACCTGGGACCCTTGAGTCCGCAGGCTGACGCTCTATCCACTGGGCCTAACCGGTTAGGGCTACCATCAATACTTTTGTCATTTTCCTCCTTTCTATTTCCAATTCTCTCTCTTTCCTTAATTGCCCCCAAAATAATCATTCACCTATTTTGGAAATAAATTTTCATACTTACTAAAATGCATACAAAATATAAAATTTAAATATACTAGAATTTCATACAAAGGGAACTTGCACTTCAGGAAGATTCTCTGACCTTACAAGCCTTTAAATATAATTTCTAGTCACTAGTTTCATGCAGACAGCCCAGATTCTGTATATGCCACACAGTCACCATCATTTATGGGGTAATGCGACTTTCCCCAAACGGTAAGACTGATACTTCGTGTCCTTGGCTTGAATAACTCAAGCAGTTTCTCTCCTGCACATGGCCTCACACTTAGTTCAAGGCTTTAACCAATCTGGAACTAGTTTATTCATTCCGTCTGATCATCCCGCAGGTTCTTAACGCCACACTTTCCATCCAAGAAGGCATTACTACTGAGTCTTGCATTTGCTGTGGTGGTGGTTCACAGCATAAGCAGTAGGCTGCCTTCTTTACGTTTATACTTGTTCAACAAACATACCCATTATGCAAAAACTCCTGAGCTCTGTGTATGTGACGATAATGAGGGGCACTGGATTATGTTTCCACAAGACTCTCGAGAAAGTTTGTGATCTGTGCAAATTGTAAACATACGGCTCTAACAGAAAAAGACGTGAGACTTCCTAATCCCTGAGATGACAACACTAAGGGCTTCTCTGACAGTTGTGCCTTTGTGCATAGTTCTGTTCTCTAAATGATACTCTCAAGTAACAATCGGTGTCTCTTTGCTACTGGCATCTTATGACTAGACCCACCTTCAGAACCGGCATGATGATTTATAGGTAGTAAGAAGCAGTAGTTGTGTTCCTCATCATGCATTCCCGGAGATTAAAAGTCAATAGCCACTTGACATTGAGAAAATATCCTCATGCTGGCAAGTCCAGTGCTTCTGTCTTAGTTTGCTCAGGCTGCCATGCCAAAATATTGTAGATTCTGGGGCTGAAACGACAGAAATCTGTTTTTTCACAGTTCTGGAGGCTGGAAATTTGCGAGCAGAGTGCCTGCATGGTCAGGTTCTGGGGAGGACCCTCTTTCTGCCTTGCAGGTGGCTCCCCTCTGGCTGCGTCTTCTCATGGGGAGAGAAAGGGCAAGCTTCATAAGTTGGCACTAAACCCACCATGAGCGCACCGCACCCCCCCCCCCACCACCACCACCACCGGGGATCTCATCTCAACCTAATTACCTCCCAAGGGCCCCTTCTCTAAATAACATGACATTGGGGGTTAGGCTTAAACCTGTTAATTGGGGTGGGGACACAACTTAGTCCATAGCGGTTTTATAACACCTTTTCTGAGTAAGCAATGAAATAGTTACGCAGAGGCCACACTTTGTGAAGAAAGCACCGGGAGGGAGTGATGTAGCAATAGAGGTATAGGTGTGAGGGTTTTATCATGAACTGCACACACACACACACACACACACACACACACACACACACACACACACGGCATCTGAGGAATTCCCCCAAACTGCAGGACTTGGACTTTAACCTAAACAATGCACTTTCCAGTCTGTGGGTCCCATGAAGGAAATTTACACTGCAAAAGCATTTGGGGTGGGTTTGTTTTGTTGTTGTTGTTTGACAACTCCGCCTGAAGACCAACAGGAGAAGCAAAAATAAGGAGCAGCAGTTCTCCCCAGCCTTTACCGTGCTGAAGGGAAGTCACCTCGGATAGCTCTATCCACACTGTGCCTTCACAAAGAGGGCTAAAGGAGTTGTGATTGGGGTTTGTCTAGAGGGAATTCTAGGAATAAAAAATTATCCGTTTGAGGACCTAGTCCTTCCTAGCCTGGTTTTGTGTTTGTTTTATTTTTCCTAATAACCAGTATGTCTACACCTCCCACCAAGGCCTGTCTGCTCCATGACCCTGATTTTCCCTTTCTCTAGCTCTTAAATCACGCATTGTTTGGGCTGTACAATAAATTTCTCAAGAATTCTCTAAGGTGGTCACACACAGCAGTCAATTCATGTTTGATTGATTAATTGACATGCTTTATAAATAGCTATTGACCATTAATTATGTGCGTGTATGTGCAGTTTTTAAAAAGAGAGAGAGGGAGCAGAAAAGAGAGCAAGTTGTATGCAATTGGACTTCTTCCTGGAAGCCTCTTTATTGCTCATGCTACCCAACGCATACCATCTGATCCATATCGCCACTTGGCAGGAAGCAGGACACCAGGCACAGCCACGCTTGGATGCCCAAATTTATCTGGAGAGTCTGTCACCATCACCTCTCCCAATCCAGAGTTTTGTTTGCAGAGGTACAGACCTCCTTTTAAGGAACCACTCACTAATATCTATTATTTTTTTCCCAATGTTCTCCTTCTCTCCCAGTGAGGTTGTGTGTGTGTGTATGTGTGTGTGTGTGTGTGTGTGTGTGTGTGTGTGTGTGTGTTGTTTTGTTAATTTGTTCCCAGGTGGGAATAAAGAGAGGTAGGGGCAAAGTGGAACTGACTTATTAAGTATTCTTTCTAACTCTTCTGCCTTCTACTTGGTACTAAAGATTTGAACTTAAAAAGCAAGCAAACAAAGAAACAAAAACAGGAAGCTGCTACCTTGGTTCTCTGGATCTGTTGTCCTTGGGATAATGGTGGCATGACCCCAGCAGCACCCTTGAGGAAAAGGTGGGGGAATGAAAGAAAATGGAGGGGGAGGACATCCATTCATATTTTGGAACATCATCCAGTTGCAGACTATGGTAATTAGGTTCACTACCAAAGGTAGTTTAGTAATTATTGGAGGAGTTATAAAATAATACTTTTAAGGAACAGGATTTAGGGAACCCTCGTGCACTGCTGGTGGGAATGAAGATTGGTGCAGCCATTACAGAAAACAGTATGAAGTTTCCTCAAAAAAATTAAAAATGGAACTTCCTTTTGACCCAGTGATCCCACTTCTAGGTATATATCCTAAAATCCCGAAACACCAATTAAAAAGAATATATGCACCCCTGTGTTCATAGCAGCATCATTTACCATAGCTAAGATCTGAAAACAGCCCAAGTGCCCATCAGTAGATGAGTGAATAAAAAAGATGTGGTACATTTACACAATGGAATACTATGCAGCTGTGAAAAAGAAAGATCTCTTAACCTTTCTGACAGCATGGATGGACCTGAAGATTATTATGCTCAAAAAATTAAGCCAGTCAGGGAAAGACACACATCACATGATCTCACTTATATGTAGAAACTAATGAACAAAATAAACCATAGGTCCAGAGGCATGGATATATGAAACAGACTGACAGATGGCAGGGGGGAGGAGGATGGGTGACGGGAAGAGATTAACCAAAGAACATATGTGCATATATACATGACCCATGGACACAGACAATAATGTGGTGAAGGCCTGGGGTAGGGTGGGGACTGAGGGACATCTGTAATGCTGTCAATAATTAAAAAGTGATACCTGGCATGGGCCTAAAAAACATTAGCTATATTACAAAAAAAAAAAAAAAGATTTAGTAATAAGTTTAAATAATTATTTTTAAATGAATCATAAAATTAAGTTTGTCTCAGATTCCTTAAGGTTTCCCCAATTCTTATCTCTAGCAACAACTTTTTTCTATGAAAATTCATTAACAATTTTTATCTGTAAAATGAAATTTTGATCATTTGATGGGTGTGAAAAGTAGTGATTTGCTTTTAGCAAAAGTGACATTTTGTTCCTAATCAAGTAAGAGAATAGCTGTGTAAAGAGCTGTTATCTTGGTGTTTAAAAAAAATGGAGGCTACACATCCCTAAAAAATAATGTATTTGTTAAGTCGTTGACCTCAAGGGAGTTATCAAGGAGGAAGTTATTATTTTCTTGCCAAATTTTCACTTACCATAATATTATGAATTAATTGTAAATAGTGTAAATGTTTGTGTGAGTGAAAATTATTTATAAACAAAGAGCTATAGGAAGACATATATAGCTGTGAAGATATGTATAGGCTTTTTATTAAGAAGTATTTATATTACATTCTTCTCTCAGTATTTTCTACATTCTTATTACTGCTAACCAACTATGTTACAAAAGGAATTTGTTACATTCATTATATTCCCATTAATCTTTTTTAGAAAATGAATATTATATTGCTTTTCATTCTATCATTTCACAGCTATTGTTTTTCCACTAAGCAACGATTTTTACCATGAGACTGAAATCAATAGACATTTAACAAGTCATATACATAGGTTTATCATCAATCAAAAACCCGAAGGACCTAACACAGCACTTACTAAAGCTGAGTTTGAGTTCATCTTTGCTGTTATATTTTATGCAGCCTCTTCTACAGGCTCTGGTTTATTTTACTGAGAAAAATAAGGCAGTTCTAGAGGCTGATTGGCAAAAGATTTAAGGAAATATAATTCAAAAAAATTATTTCTTGCATCTAGCTGGGATGTGAAAATGTGGAACTCCCTTTTTTCCATACTTGCTCTGCCTCTGGCAGTATAGGACAGCAGAATATTTTTAGACTACTTTGATTTTGTGCAGTTTTTACATAGAAAACCTTCACTTAGAAAAAGGGTTGGAGATAGAAAGTTTGCTTTCCAGGAAGGTAAAACTAAACTAATATCTTTAGGAAAAACTACTTGAAACATGAAGTTTCCTTTGGTTATCTGATTATACTACCTGGCCCCAAGTCAAGAAACTAAAATGAGACAAATTTAAAGGTCAAATCATTAAAGTGATTGTAGTACCTAAATTAGAATATGACACTAATTAAAATAGGGACTAGGAGGAAAACTATGTCGTTAAAAATAAGGAAAGTTGAAAATATGCCCATAGATGAGCCCACAGATCAAAAGAATCTAGCCAGCAATTAGAGGTCCTGGTAATGGAAACCAGGCAACTCCAGGTATAGAATATACAGCGATGATAGAAATGAGCTGCTATGCCAGGACCTCACACTTTTCATACATCAGTTTCTTTGTCTAATGCCCCTTAATATGGGCACCTCTGCCTTTATCACAGCCCATCATAGTCCAACCTACACTACTTCCTTGGAGCTGCAGGTTTCTCCCACTTGCCAGGGGGAGTTTTATGGGTGAGTGTTTATTAAAGAACTAGAGACCTGATGCACAAAATTCATGCAAAGGGCTCGACCTCTGCCATGGCGGCAGCCGCCTCTGCCTCAGCCCCTGCCCACTGCGGCGGCCGGGGGCCTCTGCCTTGGCCCCCGCTGCCACGGCTTCATCCGGAAGGTTGTCCAGAGGACATCTGGTCTAATTATCATATTACATTTTTATTATTATAGAATATACTAACACTAGAGGCCCAGTGCATGAAATTCATGCACTCAGGGGTGGGGGAAGGTCCCTCAGCCCAACCTGCACCCTCTCACAGTCCAGGAGCCCTTGGGGGATGTCCATGTGGAGCAGGCCTAAGCCAGCAGTCAGACATCCTTAGCACTGCCACAGAGGTGGGAGAGGCTCCCGCCACCACCACTGTGCTCACCAGCCATGAGCCCGGCTCAGGACTTCTGACTGAGCAATGCTCCCCCTGCAGGAGCTCACTGAACACCAGGGGCAGCTCCTGCACTGAGCGTCTGCCCCCTAATGGTCAGTGCACATCATAGCAACTGGTCATTCCGCTGTTCGATCAATTTACATATTAGCCTTTTATTAGATAGGATGGCCAGCATTAACAATTCTAGAAGCACTCTCCCTAGACTTAAAGGAACTTGCAGCAATTATTTTTGCACATTACCCTTACTAAATTAAACTTGGTATTATCTGAAATGGCAATGCTGCAAGTATATGCATGTATATAAGGATATAGAGGAAACTTCTCAGGGAATGTTTTGATAATAAAGGAAAAGATAAACACTTTGCACAGAATAAAGTTTAACAATTGGAAATAAATTTCTGCAAGAAATTGGGACTTTTATAATACCAACCATAACATCTCTGGGTTCATAAATCCTTCTGTAGTCATTTGAACTCTCCTAAAAGCTCTCAGAGGGTTATCCTTTCCCCCTTTTCCTGCTTTTTGTTTATAAATTAGAATCAGAGATATTTTATTGAAAAGGACCAACAAATCAAAAGGCAATACAGCCAATTTAAAATTTGCAGTTTATGAACAGTCAGGGCCTCTTGTCCGAGCCAGAGACTTCTTGACTTCTCTATGGATAGTCTTATTTTGGGGAATACTATACAACTTGAATCTACAGGAATCTGTAAAATATTAGAGGCAAAATGAGAGTAGCAAGCTACACTCCACGCTTTAGAATAGGATGATTTTTCAGAATCTTAAATCCTTTCAATCAAAGGCAGCTTTTATGAATAAGAATAAGGTAGATTCTTAGATCAATACCTTGTTTTTGAGGGGCCAGGTTCTCCTTCTATGTAACTATGGAAATTAGATTACACAGGAAAGCAATCTTTCCAGAGGGAGCTGCTTACAGGTGAACTTTCTGATACTGCTAGTGAAATTGAAATTCTAAAATCCAGCTATGTTGATTGAATGCAACACACTCTAATGGGCACACACATCATTTTCATAAGTTTTATTTTGGTAAAAGAAAACAAAGCACAAATAGTGTGATTGAAAGTCCTTCTTGGCTTCTCAGTATATGCTACTGAACAAATGTGTTAACATTCTCTGCATCAAGAATCTTGTCCACTTAATGTAGCATCCTTTACCTACAGTAGTAACACATTAGCAATTTATTTTGATACACTCGTATATGAGCCAGATTACTGTTGTTTTTTCAAATGCCTATCTTAAATATGTCTATTTTAAAGTTTTAAGTTGTCGTTCCCAATTATACTAAAATTAACCAGTTTACTGACTATCTTCCTTTTCTTTTTCTTTTTTTTATAATATTCACATTTGCATTAGGTTCTTATGACTGCTGTTTTAAATGATCACAAACTTAGTCACTTAGAATAATGCAAATTTGTTAACTTACAGTCCTGGAGGTCAGAAGTCCCTAAGTGGGTCTGAAATCAAGGTTTTGACAGGGCTGCCTTCCTTCTGGGGGCTCAGGAGAGAGTCTGTTTTCTTGCCTTTTCCAGTTTCTAGAGGTTGCTGCATTCTTGGCTGGTAGCCTCCTTTCATCTGCAAAGCCAGCAATGGCTGCTCAAGTCTTTCTCACATCAGAACATTCCGACCTCCTCTTCTGCATCAATCTTCCACATTTAAAGGACATTGTGATGACGTTGGGCCTGCTCGGAGAGTGAGCACCTTATGTTAAAGTCAGATTAGCAACTATAATTCTGTCTGCAACCCTAGTTCTCCCTTGTCAGATAACCTAACATATTCACAGGTTCTGGGGATGAGGACATAGATATCTATAGGGCACATGGGGCATTATCCTGACTAGCATAGCACTCTAATATTGCATGTGATTGATTATATCCTCACAGATTCATTTTTGTGCTAAAGTATATTTGAATTTTAAAAGATCGTTATAGGTCATAATCTGTCATGGGTTGTCCCTTAAAAAGATGTTGAAGTTCTAACCCTGGTACCTGTGTGAATGACCTTATTTAGAATAGGGTCTTTGCATATGTAATTGAGTTAAGATGAAGGGTGGGCCCTAAACCAATACGACTGGTCTTAAAAGAAGAGGAAAACACCATATGATAAATAAACTGTGAATAGAGAACAGTTTGGTATGCATGACTGCAAAAAAAAGTTTGTGAGAGTCAGTAGTAAGTGGAACTCTAGAGAGGTAGGTTAGAGCTGCACCATTGGTTGGGCATTATGGCACCACTGACAGTTTTGAGAGGTAAATTCACATGACAATAATAACTGTTAACATCTATTGAGTGCTAATTAAGTGCCAGTGATAAGTATGTTATATGCATATTTTCATTGAATTGCAACACTAACATACAGGAATTATTATCCACAATACAGATAAGAAAATAGGGAGTAAAAAATAAAATGGCTTAACCAATCCCCTAAACAGCTCACTTCAGATTTGAGGGGTTCAACTCTTCCTGACTGAGTTGCCTTAAAGCCAGAGTTGTCCTTGAGAAGGACATCCTAGCTGGAAATCCTTAGCACAAAATAGAAGATGCAGAGGTAAGCAGTCAAGTTAAAAAACCTGGCCAGCATGGCTCAGTGGTTGAGCATCAACCTATGAACCAGGAGGTCACAGGCTCGATTCCCAGTCAGGGCACATGCCCAGGTTACAGGCTCAATCCCCAGTGTGAGGCATGTAGGAGGCAACTAATCAATGAATCTCATCATTAATGTTTCTATCTCTCTCTTCCTCTCCCTTCCCCTCTGAAATCAATAAAAATATATTTTAAAAAAAGAGAGAGAAAGAGATTTATGAGAACCACTGGGGGACAGCGTTGGGAATGGAAACGTGATACAAAGACTTCTTTGGTAAGTCTGCCTTAGCTGATGTAACCACATTATACCACTGGAGGCAAAAACAAAGGAAACGGAAAGCAAGACTCAAAGCTGAACTCCATGTTTGGAATCTGAAACTTGGAAGGACATCAATGCCCTGTACAGAAATAGGAAAGCAAGAGGAAGCTTAACTCCGGGTGAGAGCAAGGGTGGGAGGGGAGTTGGATGAATTTATCTGGGATTGAGATGCCAGCAAAACATCCAGTGGAGCTGTCCAGCATGCAGGTGGCTGTGTGAAGCTGAAGCTCAGAGAAAAGTTCAGACTGCAGATATTGATTTGAGAGTCACGTTCATAAAAATAAAAATTAAAGCCATAAAATGGAGGAGATTGCCAAAGGAGAGGATATAATGAGGTTGATGGCAGAAACTTAAAAAAAAAAACCCAAACATTTAGCAGCCTGAAGGAGTTTTTAGTGAGATCAAAGATTCAGTGTAATAGAACCATGTTATATCACTGGAGGCAAAAACAAAGAAAATAATTAATCACTGAACATCTTGAGCAACTAAGACAGATGTTCAGGTCTTAAGAATCTTAGAAGATATGCCTCCTAAATAGAAACTAAACAGTGGAAAGGTGTCACAAGGAAGTTCTTTTCCAAAATAATTGTACAGAAAATGGCTTTTTGAGATCAAAGGTGAGAACCTTGGGCTTCCATTCATAAAGGTCATCACTGCAGATTTTCTGGGCATTCTGCACTACACCCTGCAAGGCACAAGTCCTGCTGTCCTCTTTCTCAGAACAAGGTGCTTTACTTTTTCATGTGCTTTTATAGATTTCAGAGAGAGGAAGGGAGAGGGAGAGATAGAATCATCAATGATGAGAGAGAATCATTGATTGCTGCCTCCTGCATGCCCCCTACCTGGATTGAGCCCACAACCGGGGCATGTGCCCTGACTGGGAATCAAACCATGATCCCCTGGTTCATAGGTCAACACACAACCTCTGAGCCACACTGGCCAGCTAAGGGGCTTTACTTTCACTATGCTTTGAGGGAAAAGTATCTGGAATAACTGAAAATTCTTCATGCAAAAAACTTATACAGGGAAGTAATAAAGTCTTTTCTTCCCATATAAAGAGCGCAAGTGTATGAAAAATGCAAAATACTCCAAAATATTGAATTTGTCATAAAACTAGTTTTCATAGTTACAGCCTTATGATCGCAAACAAATATGTACAGAGCAATTTCTAATAATTCTGCGAGGACCAACACACACTGATCATTTGGAAGTTAAAAAATAATGCTTTGACTTTAATCTTGCAAGTTCATTTGAAGCATATTTGGTTCGTTTTGAAGTCCTGGTCTTATGCATTTGACAGGAAACCCAAGCAGAAAGAAAACATACATTTCTCATAGTTTCCTCTTTCAGCTTTACTCCCTGCTGTGTTGTGCCAGAGAGTGCGTGGTGAGAAATGAGTCTTGCTTTCTAAATGATGCAGCAAAGCGGCAGACCGTTGGGTGTTTTTAAGTGCTTTGTTACTTTCTACACTTGAAATAGGGCAGAGCACCAAAGAAGGAAACTTAACAGCAGCACTGAAATGCCAGAGTGAGTCTTGGTATCCTGAAACAAAGGTAAAGGAAGTTGCCTCCTTGCTTCACTGAATATTTCACACCCCAAATAACTTCTTAGAACATTTACCTTTCATCACTAATTCTATTGGCAGAAATATTAAATAAGAAATAAACATTAGCTCGATATATATATATATATATATATATATATATATATATATATATCAAGGAAGGGAGAGAGAGAGAGAGAGAGAGAGAGAGAGAGAGAGAGAAGAGAGGGGAGAGAGAGAGAGAGAAGAGAGGAGAGAGAGAGAGAGAAAGAGAGAGAGAGAGAAAGGAAGGAAGATCGATCAGCTGTCTCCTGCCTGCACCCTACCTGAGCATGTGTCATGTGTCCTGACCAGGAATTGAACCAGCAACCTTTCAGTCCAACTGAACCACACCAGTCAGGGCCACTAGCTCCATCTTAATATTCCTGACCAGGAATCAAACTGTGACCTCTTCATTCTATGCTCAACCACTGAGCCATGCTAGCTGGGCACTGTAGTATTTTTAGAGTGGAAAAAAAGGAAATAACCCAATTGTATATCTGTTAAATAAATAATTAATTTGTCGCATTTATACTGTGGAATACCATGTGGCTATTAGAAATAATGTTGATATGGCAAATTTCTAAAAATTATTAAGGGAAAAGAGCAAAGTGGAACACCACCCAGATGAGTGGTATGAATCAATTTGTTTAAGAAAGTGGAGTGGTAACTTACAAATGCCTATATATATACATATAAGAAAAATTTCTTAAGAATAAATAAACTCTGAGTCTAGTGACAGGGTGGGACTAGAGGTTAGGAATAGAGTATTTTAAATTTTACTTCATGTCTTTCCTTACTTCTTGAAAAATTTCCCCAAACATGAATTATATTTATAATTTAAAAATTAATGATACCCATTAACAATGACAGGAACTGTTGGAACCATGGAGTTCACAGATTGAAATTTAAATTAAGTGTTTCTTTCTGCTCCACTTACCCTTACGCGTATAAAAATGCATTTTAATAAGGCAGATAAATGCAGGAAAGGTTTTGAAGTATCTTCCACTTGTTCCGGCACACACTTCCTGAGAGGGCTGTTAAGAAGTAATCAAGTTCTGCTTAACAAGGAGCATTGCTAGAGAAGGCATGAATAAGGGGTTGAAAATGCACATCTACTGAGAAACCACCTACTATGTGCCGAACATTGAACTAGGGGCTTAAGATCCAAATGATTCACAAAACAAAAGCTTTGGATAATTAGGGTGATTCAAACAAATTATGAAGAGCTGGCTATAACTTTTTTAAAAAGTGGCCTGTGCCCACTGGTGGGTGAAGCCAGAAGGGGGGAATTTGTTACAAAAATGGTGCAAGGGCCCTGAGTTGAAGAAAGGGAAGGGAAAGCAGAATTAGACAACTACAGGTCCAGAGCAGTATGATCTGAAGCACCCTGAAGGGATGGTTAGAAATGCAGATTTCTGGGACCCAGCCTACGGAATCAGACTTTCTAGAAGTGTGGGCTGAGATTCTGCTTTTTAGTCAGATTGTCTAAGTGAGCTAAGGTTTGAGAGGTTCTTCTCTAAGATAACTCAGATCCTGAAGAATAAGTCCTACCTGGAGTCAGAGATAATCTTATATTTATTGTCTCCTTAGATTCCTAGGAAGGTAGTAGGGCCCATATGAAGCAGCGCACTAAATACTATGGTGAAGAAATTGAGAAATTATTCAGTCATGTTAAGAAAACAATTGGCTTGGCGATTTAGAATCTCTTGGGAAGATGATTTTAAAAATGATTATTGTCACACAATGTAAGAGCAAAGACAAAGTTGAATTAGGCCTAAAGCACAGGTTAAGTTTGTGAAAAGGAAAGAAAGCTAGAGTCCACATTTTTGCAGTTCATCTGTTACAGTGAAACAACTGAGCATATCTCTTGTCTTCTTTTGATTATCTCTATATATAAAAGCCTAAGCGACCAAATGACCAGTCGCTATGACGTGCACCTACCACCAGGGGGCAGACGCTCAATGCAGAAGCTGCCCTCTGGTGGTCAGTGCGCTCCCACAGCCAACCTCCCGGGGCCAGCCAACCTCCCGCCGTCCTTCCCCCTGGCCGGCTGGCCCTGATTGGCCATGATCAGGACTGGGTGAGAGGGCCCAAATCGGCCCCCCATTGCCAGCCAGGCCGAAGGACCCCACCCGTGCATGAATTTGTGCACTGGGCCTCTAATGCTATTATAACTTCTTATCATAGAAAATTGCATTAATAAAACATAGATCCTTGAATTATTTAAAAGATAGTTATAAATAAGCTCCTATAGTTTGGAGAACATCTGATCTCCCTGGATAAGTCTGGGATATTTTAGATAATGAGGATAGGTATAAATACATATGTATGACTGCCAAAGATAAACGAAATTGAATTTAGTTCAACGGGCACTTCCTGACTACTTATTACCTTGCAGTGTGCCAAAGGGTATTAGAGAAGGGAGGCTAGATATGACACAGTCTCTACCCTCAAAGGGCTTACAAGTTTGTGAGTGAGGCTTATCTATAGACTATGATAAAAGGCATGAGGACAGATTCCAAATCAAAATACAGGAAGTACTAAATCAAACATACCAGAGTTTTACAGAGTGGTTACTTCTGTATGGGAAGGGGTACGAAGGAAAACAAAACAAGTCAGCCAAATTTACTCTGTTGACAGATATTATATCCTGATTTCACTCCACCTAAACAAAGGAAGTCTTCACAGAGGAGCTCTGGTTGGAGAGGAACTTGAGAGGATGAGGCTGTGAGGAGAGGAATAGTAAGTAAGAACATTTTTTAAAAAAATTCTTTATTGTTTAAAGTATTACATAAGTCTCCTTCCCCCCCCCCCATTGACCTCTCCTTGGCTGCCCCCACCCCCTAGCACATGCCCTCACCCCCTTACTGTCTGTGTCCATTGGTTATGCTCATATGCATGCATACAAGTCTTTTGGTTGATCTCTTACCCCCTCCCCCCCACCTCCCTCCCTGCCTTCCCTCATAGGTTGGGCAGTCTATTAGTAAGAAATTTTTGTAAAGGTATGATAGAGGGTAAGTTTTTGGTGGGACTGATCCTGCTCCAGTATACGAATATAATACTAAATACTCAAAATGATATTATTAAATTGTTGTCATTATTATTGCTATATGTCTGTAGGAATCACTGAAATCAGCAGAACTCCTAAGAAGTTGATGTCTTTAAGTGTGAAGATAAACAGCAGTTCAAGGGCATGGGACACTCTCCACCACAAAAGTGCTATTTTCTGATGGATTTCCAATGAGATACAGTGATTAAAACTTAGAAATATAAATAAAGAAAGGCACTTTTTATATTTATTTCTTTGCTTCTTTGGAGAGATGCTGTGAATCAACTCAAATATTTTGTTACGAGGTTTTATTTTGCTTCATTTCTCAAATATTTTCACCTCGGTTAATTTAAACGTTTGAGGGCCTGGGGCTCTATTAAAAGCATTTTAAAAATGTTATTATTCTTGCCCTGGCCAGGTGGCTCAGTTGGTTGGATCCCTGGTCTGGTACATCAAAAGGCTGGGGATTCTATTCTGGTAAGAGCACATACCTAGGTTGCAGGTTTGGTGCTGGGTTGGGGTGAGGTCAGGAGACAACCCACTGATGTTTCTCTCTCTCTCTCTCTCTCTCTCTCTCTCTCTCTCTCTCTCTCAATCAATCAATAAAAACAAATCCTCTATTGTGGATTAAAAATGATAATAAAAGGTTATTACTTTCTCATTTGCACTGGCTTTTCCTCAGATGGTAAGAAAACAGAATATCCAAATAGGCAATACAAACATCCCTCCTCATTTAATTACCTGTTCATTTAACTGTATGTGTTATCTTTCTGGGAAGAACTCAAGGACTGAAATTAATCCTCTTAAATGTGGGTCCAATGTTTCCGGTGCCTTTGGAATAATTTCAATTCTGTGGTATAGCACCTGTCTCATGTTTTCAACATTTTGTTTCCACTTCGCCGTTCCTCGCAAGGAAAATGTGTTCCTGGGATACGTGTGGCATTTTTAACCGATTCCACTAGGTCTTTAACCCGTGTTCCTTTTCTCTGTCAGTGAGCATAGCACTGCTTTCCAGACTCTGAGGAGGACTTTCCACTGGACAGAGCCCCAGACAGACTCCAGCCCTCACTTCTGGGATCTAGGAGGCGGCCAGTATGGGGCCGGACGCTCGGCCCTTTGCAAGTGAGCAGACTGAGTCTGCGAGCCCGGCAGCAGCGCCCGCGCCCCGACCTCGCGACCTCCGCGGGACAGACTCCAGCACGCCCCGGGGTTGGTTTCCGAGGCCCCGCGCCCCACCGCGCCCTGGAGAGGTTCCAGCATCTTTCGGCCTGGACGCCCCAGGCAACCGCTGCACCGGGGCCCGGAACCACAGCCGTTCTGCGGGCTTGACTTGCAGCTCTGGGTGGAAAAGCCGCGGCTGCAGATGCCGAGGTTGAGGCTGCTGAGCGCCGGCGGCCCGGGACAAACGACTCTGAGCGCCCATGCGGCTGCTGGGCCAGCGCGCGCCGAACCGCGGCCCGGAGCCCAGTCTGGCCTCGGGCAAGTGGGGATCCGCACGCAGGGTCAGCGGAGCAGAACGGAGCCAGCTTTTAGCCTGGTTCCAGTCCTGCGGACCTTCTCAGTCGCCAGGGCCCACCCAGGGAGAGAGCAGGGGGAAGATAAACAGCAGATCCAGGGCGCGGCGCGCTCTCCGCCACCTCCCTGGCCTCGCGCTGTCTCCCCGCGCGCAGGGCCCGGGCCGGGCTGCGGGGTTTCTCTGGACCGGGGCTCGGAAGGACCCGCTGGGCCTTAGTCCTGAGCGATCCGTCCTCTGCAAACGCAGCTCTGGTTGCATCCCTGACGCGATCCCCTGGCTCTGCTTGCAGGCACAAATCAGCTACGTTCCTGCCTGCGAGTCTAGGCCCTGCTATTTCAAGAATTCCAGGGGGAAAATGTGCAGCGGTGCGGTAAGGGTCTGTGCAGCGCAGGGAACTCGTGAAGCAAAGAGGCGCGCGCGGCCTGCAGGCAGACACATTTGTCCCCTCTGGGTCTGCCCAGCTTTACTGCTCGTGGGGGTGGAGTAAAGGTTTGTTTCTCTCTCCCAGAGTTTCCTCTGAAATCAACTCTCTTTAGAGCGAAGGTCCAGTATGGCTCTATCTCGCCTGTAGCAATCGCAATGTGTCCAAAATGGGCACCAGCACAGAGTTTCTCCGAGACGCGGAGTCTCTTGGCCCTGGAGTTCATTCTTGTTTTCTCAATGGAATGGGCCTCCGAAATCCCCCAGGACCGTCTCAGTAAGTACATATATAATGATTCCCCTTAAGTGGCAGCTTGGGACTTAGGTGCAATAAGTCACGTGTACTTGTTGATACACCTTCTCTATGAATAAGAATATTTTTGAGATCTCGGAGGCAAAGTCGATCTGTCAAGGGACAGTATATCCAGTCCTTACCATTTAACTAAAAACCTGCACGTCTATAGAGATTTGGTGGACATTCTAGTTAGCACCTTAGACTACTTTGATGTTCTGCGTTGACTCTATATGCATTTTCATAATACAACACTTATATTGCATATATTACCATTGCAGGTCACTCTTCCACAAAACTGTACATTTCCTTAAGGAAGGGATAGTTTTTACTCACCTTTGATTTTCCCACCAAGTAATGCCTACACGTAAGTACTCAATAAATCATCATTAATTACACAACTCACTCTTAGTCATTAAATTTCTACACTCTGAAACAGAGGAATGAAGGAACGGGAAGATAGGCCTTAAAGATACCAAATACAAGTGAAGGACTTGTATTTGGCATTTGTAAGACAGTAATAGTGCTCAGAAACAATTTGCTAATCAAACCTCCTAGGTTTTAGGACTATCATGAGCGGGAGGTGGGAATGACCTACATTCTCAGGCAATTTTAAAAAAATTAACATTTGGATATATTTTCCTTTCTTTTCTCTCTTTCTATAAACTAGGTGTGTAAGCCATTATGCTTGAAGGGAAAATGTACTTTGCCTACCTTTGATATCTTATCTGTCCTTGGACTTACTGGTACATTTG